GAATCCAGAAAGTCCTCCAGGGAATCTTTCAACTAACAGGGTTAATCCATTTGCTAAATTGCAAAATGAAACTGCTCAAGGTAATGAGCATCCACCACAAGACAAGGGTACTCAGTCAACCAGCCAGCCGACAGTTATTTGCTAAGAGTCTATGAAGTGTAAAGCACTGTGCTGGGTTATAAAGTGGATTCAAAAGGAGTATAATAGCCCTTGACTCTACCCAGGAAGTCAAGATAAGCTCTTGAAAAAATCATTACGGTTGTGAGGCACTGTGTGATCAGGAACCAGGTGTGGTGAATTAAACATTTGCTGTACCGGTCCCTGGGGGAGTGGCTTCTCCAGGTCCTTTGGCTCCCCCATGGGAATGGGGGAGGCAACGGCAGCTGCCTTCAAGGGAAGAGCTAATCACTGAGGCTTTCCTATGAGCAAATCCTATTGGTCAGCAGCATGAGCTTTCCTGTCTTATTTTCCTCAAACTGGAAGGACTCAGGATGCTTCTCTGACTGTATGCATTTCAACTGAGTCCACATGGTGTGCCTGCCCGGTACTGGAAGGTTTAAGGGAAACCAGTTTATGGTAATCACTCTAATGGAAATGAAAATCAACCTGAGAAGTACCGGGAAGTTGATGGTGAGCATGGAGAAGCAGAGACCAGAGGTAGAAAATGCCAGTTTGGCTGTGTGATGAATATATGAGGGCATACATAGTGCTGGGTGGGAGGCTGTGGACTAGCAGCCCACTGCAGATCAAGTGCCAAACCTAGGGGTCCTGATGGGAACCCACAGGGCAAAGGAGCTCCCTCGGGCAGCAGCAGGAAGGGATGGAATTTGAGCCGGGTGTCAGGACCGAGAGTCAGAGGGAGAGGAGGCCGTTGGTCCCTGGGTACATGGCACATGAGGTATGAGCGGACGGCCTCTTCGACTTCTGGTCTTCATCCCTCAGGCGGGCCCACATCAGTTCCCCAGGGATCTGGGAAAATGTATTTGCAGGTTCCCAGGGAGACAGTATATTGTTGCTATTAGAAATTAGAAATATGACTCTCATGAAGATATAAAATGAACATGCCAGCGTTTAATTTAGGTGGAAACTGGTGGTAAACTGATTCAAAGGGTATTTGAGGAACTGGGTATTTATAGGCTATACATAAAACCTGGGTAGTGTCCAACAGGGCAATATAACTACAACCTTTGAGGTTTTTATACCATTCGGAAATCTACACATTAACATGTAACCTCATTGTGTCTGGGTTCTAACCAGACAGTGAACAGCAAAGTCAAACCCAAGTACATTCTCCTGGAGAGGGCTTGTTCCAGCAGTGCTGCAGGGTCATGTGAGAGGAAGAGCTTCCCACTCCTCTCCCACGCCCTTTCCACTCCTGCCCAGCTGCCTCAGTTCCAAGTTCTGTTAACACTTAAGAACTGGGTTGGAGTTAAGGAAACCTGAGATTGAATTCTGATTCCTTCACTTACCAGTTGTGTGATATTGGGCAGGTAGTTCCCTGCAACCGGACTTACTTGCTGTAAATTGGGAGGAGCAACTGAGATAGCTTTTGTAAATCCCCTGGCACCGGATAGGCAATCAGTAAATCTTCGTGCTGCTCTTTCCTCTTTATAAAATGAAAACAAGTTTTACCTTTTGTCTGGACTTCATAGACAAAGTTCCCTCCTCCCCTCCCTCCCTCTGTTCCTCCCTCTCTTTCTTCCTTCCTCACTTCCAGTTTTTTAGAATAATATCCTAGAACTCCATGGATTTCCTGCATTACTAATGGAGGTATTCTATTGGATTTTCATCTAAATGGAAAATAGACTTTAATATAAAAAAAAAATAATCCTCACCTGAGGACATTTTCATTGATTTTTAGAGAGACGGGAAGGGAGGGGGAAGGGGGGGGAGAGAGAGACATTCATCAGCTGCTTCCTGTCTGGGGATTGAACCTGCAACCTAGGTACACGCCCTGACTGGGAATTGAACCTACGACCTTTCAGTGTACAGGTTGGTACTCCTACCAACTGGCTAGGGAGATTCTAGTATTTTTTAATTAAAAAACATTTCCCGCCTTTTTTGAGAGAATTAACAAGTAGCACTGTATAAGTTAGAGGTGTACAGCATCATGATTTGAGATAGGTATTATTCCAGGGTGATTAGCATGGTGGGGTTAACATATCCATCACCTTACATATTTAGTGGTTTTCCTTTTTTTTTTTTTGTGGTGAGAACTTTTAAGATCTACTCTCAGTAGCTTTCAAATATATCACACAGTATCATCAGCCATGGTCGCCACCTTGCATAGTAAGCTTTATTTAGAGAACCCTCTGCATATGAAAAAATGGAGAGACGTTACTTCATTAAAGATGATTTCTTATTTGATATTCGATTTTCTTTTTCTGAGGGTGGTGGTGGAGGTATTTCTTGTTTAAGTGTAACTATCAACCTGCTCTTCTTTTAAACGGAGAGCTGGCCTCCCCAGTTGTCCTTTATGAAGCCGTTCAGTATTTCATTGTCTACTGTGCGCCTGCTCTGGGTTGAGCTTTTCGAGGGGGGAGACTAATGAACAGAAGCCTTCCAGGAGCCTGCTCCCCACCTGTCTCCTTACTTGGCAAAGGCCAGCCCAGGTGGGGTTAACAGTGATGCCCGAGGGATTGCAGGCTGGTGTCTGGTACAGGCACCTGATCCTCACAGCTGGGTTTGGGTTTCTGGAGAGCAGATTCTCTCCCCCACAGCCCCTCGCATGATAACCTGTGCGCTGGCATGTGGGACATTGGCCTGTGGTTCAAAATGGCAAAGGCTGTGATATCAAGAGCCTCTTCAGACTTCTGATTTGGAGAAAGGAGTCCTTTTCTAGTTAGAAATTTTTATAGAGGTCAGAGAAGCATCTCTTTACTTTTGGCTTAGGATATTTGTTTCTTCAGGACTCACTCATTTTGCTGCCTTGGCTGGCTTATGAGCTTCTGATGGTGCTCCGAGAGATTGAGGATAAGATGGAATTGCCCTTGACTCTACCTCCCTCCCTTGCAGAACACAGTATTAATGTAGATTAATAGGTCAGGGATCCCCAATTACAAACTCAGGTGTGCCACTACTTATATTATTGTTTCTTCTTTTTAGTATTTATACATTTTCCCCCCTGTCCTGCCTGCATGCAAAATGCAGTGTAGTTTAAATTGTTGAGTATTAATGGTCACACAAGGGGGAAGTTTTGTAACCCCATTTCTTCATTTCTGTGTCATAGCTCTCAATAAGGTGATATGATCAGTACCTTGACAGTCCATGCTCATCAGTTCATTCATTCAGTAGGCAGCATGTATTTATTGAGCAGCAACTCTGTGCCAATCACTGGTGAGTTTTCTGTAAACATGATAAATAAGAACCTGTCCTGATGGAGACAGATTGTAGCCAAATAAACAGACAAGGTGATGTGAGACCATGATACGATTATGAATGAAATAGATCAGATGATGAAAAACTATAAGTAAACTGCTATTTTTAGTAGTTTTAATTAGGGTTATCAGACCAGTCTCCTTGAAGAAGTGGCTTTCTGACCTGAAAACAGAAGGCTGAGTGATCAGCCACGGGAAGAGTTGAGTGAAGAGCATTCTGTGAAAGAGAGCAGTTTGGAAAGGTGTGGGATGAGTTTGCCTTGTTCAGGAAGCAGAAACTCAGACCTCTGCCTGATGTGGAGTGAGGAAGGGGGAAGGTGGGTGGAGAGGTGGGCAGGGCCATTTAGCGTTTCCTAGATCGTGGGAAGGAGTTTGGGTTCATTCTCGGTGCAATGGAAAGCTCTTGGAGAGATATAGAGCAGTGGAATGGCATGAGCTTATTAAAAGAAGAGAAAGAAAAGACGAGAGTAACCATGGCTGTTGTGTGAAGAATTGAATGAAGGGTGTCAAGCGTGGGAGTAGGGAGCACAGTGTAGTCCTTGTGCGGGAGGGATGTGTGAGAAGGATGATTTGACGGTTCAGCCAGGTTACGGTGGGGCCCAGATACCTGGATTTGATTTTGCAGCTATGAGGGAGCTTTGCATACGTTTGAATTTGAGTGAGTATGTGTGTGTATAATTATGAGTTTATGTGTGAGGCTGTGTGTGAGTCTCAATGTGTATGAGTGTGGGGTGCATGTGTGGATTTGTGAGTGGATATAAATGTGTGTGTGTGGGTTTGGGTTTTTGTAGCTTTTGAACAGGCCATTGGCATGTTCCTTCAGGGCTGTCCTATGTGGCACAGATTTACAGACTAAACTGGGGGAAAGGCTGGTGGCAGGAAGACAAGCTAGGAGGGTACTGAAGTTAGATGTGGAATGAGGGCCCAGAGGATGCTAACTTGGTTAGCAATGGAAAAAGAAGACTGAATTGGGTACATCCTGTTATTTATTTTCTATCTGGGATGAGAGACTGAGGAGTGAAAACTCCATCAGAGAAGCCACACTCTTTCAAAGTACCCCAGTTTGGTTGTTAGCCAAGTATTTTACCGGTCTTAATTATTTTTAAAGAATTAGGTAGAGTTTCTGATGAGTAGTCAGCTGACAGCCTTATGGGAGCTCCTTTGTAGGTATCCATATTTCAGGAGAAGAATCCCTTCCATGCCTAGCTCAAAGCCTATCCAGGAAAAGAGTGGCTCATATGGCACCAGCAGCCCGATAATGGAGCAGCACCCACAGTGGCAGTAGAAGCAGCAGAAAACAATGGAAGTTCATAAACTGAGAAAGTTGGAATCAACTTGGTTTTGACTTTGTCTCTCTTTAAAAGAGTCTCTGAAGGATTGGTGTCATCTCAGTGAACTTGTGTTATAAATAAAAGTCAAAATTAGAAAAAAAAAAAAATTAAACCTCACTTAAATTCATGTGCTTGCTTTCTCTGAAAGACATTTCATGAGTGAGAGTTGAGTGGTTGACGTGCACCCCACCCAGACTGCCCCGGCCCCTGCACACACACACACTTGTTTTCTTGTTTACCTTTAGAGTTCTGGATTCTTGAGAAACTCATTGTATCTTTTGTTCCCCCTCAGGACATTTTTGAAGATGCCTTGGACACCATCTCTATGTAAGTAGTAACATAATAAAAAGTATGTTGTAAATAAAAATTGATGGTTCTATAAAATGTGAATTTCATTTTTGTGTTTTTGAGATTAGTGACCACTGTCAGAAGAAAGTTGCTTTTCTGTAGTTTGAGTTAGGACATGGTTATGCTTAAAACAGGATCTATCTAAAATTACTATCAAATATATTTTGAGTAGTATTTCTTATAACATTAATTAAACTAAAATAAAAGAAAGTTTTCCAGCACATTAAATTTTGTTTATAGCTCACCCCTTTACAGGTTTCCCCCATTATCTGAAATAGAGCATTCCTATGAAACCCTTTGTAACCCAAATGGTGTAAAGCCAAGAAGCAACTACCAATAATTTATATGGGGGAAAATTTTGAGCATTCCTAGACTCCCAAAATAACCTACCAAATCATACCAAATAACACATAAACATACCAAACACAAAAATAACACTAATATATAGTAAACTCAGGAATGCACAGAATAAATTAAAATAAAGCACAGATGCTCACAGACACAGTTCAGAGTACGGGGGCTTGAAGCTGAGGTGCTGAGACGCTGAGTGGCTCTGGGGAAGGCCCTCGGGGGGCCGCTCTCAGAGGTGCTCGGGGCTCACGCAGACTCTAAGGGCTCGCTGCAGAACAAGCGCTGAATGCTCTTTCCACTTTTCGCCTTTTTAAAAAAAGTGAAAATCCTCTTCTTTCTTTCCATTAGTAGAAACAGGTACTAATATAGGTCTTTTGTAAAAGCGGAGTGGCATAAGGTGAATTTTTGAAAAGCGGCAATTCCTCTACACCTTGTTCATCTTTCCTTACGTGCTTAACCTCATACTGTAGACTTTTGCTTTTGGTCTGCACTTAATTTTATTATAAACACTTTCTTTTTAAAAAAAAAAAAGTATTTTTATTGATTTTAGAGAGATTGGTAGGGAGAGGGAGAGAGAGAGAGACATTGCTTGGTTGCCTCTTGTATGCTCCCTGACTGGGGATCGAACCTGCAACCTAGGTCTGTGCCCTGCCCGGGAATTGGACCCTCAGCCTTTTGGTGTGTAGGCTGACGCTCCAGCCAACCAAGCCGCCTGGCCAGGGCACATAAGCGTTTCCTGTAAGCCTGCACAGTTTTGTAATGATTTTAAAAGGCAAAATAGGTCAGATGGAACACAAGTATTTTATTCATTTCTCCATTGTTAGACATTTAGGTTGTTACTGGTTTAAAAACTTAAAACTAAGTAATGAATATTTTCGTGTGTAAAGCTTGGTCGTATTTTTGAATACTCACCGAAGATTAACTTCACAGATGTAGGATTACTGGATTAAAAGGGATGAATATTTATATAATATATACAAATATTTTTTATATAATATATCTCAAATAGCCTTTCTGTGTTAGTTACCTTGGGCTACCATAAAAAATACCACAGACTGTGTGTCTTGCCTACATGCAAAGTGCAGTGTAGTTTAAACATTGTTCAATATTAATGGTCCCACCTGGGTAGGGAGATAAAAACTGAGGATTATTGATGAAGTTCGCAGGCCAGAGGCACAGGCTCACTAAATGACTGAGACCAATAGTAGAACTAACTGTAGAATACCTTCTCTCCCCCACACCTCGTCACCACATTACTACAGGCTTATTCACAGCAGTTTCTTTTATTCTGTCCATCATGTCCAGCTATCAAGAAAAATTAAACAGTATTCCAAAAGGGAAAAAATACAACTTGAAGAGACAGAGCAAGCATCCAAACCAGATATGGCAAGGGTTTGGAATTGTCAGACTGGGACGGTAAAACAACTATGAGTAAAATGGTAAGGGCTCTAATTGATAAAGTAGACGGCATGCAAGAATAGATAGGCAGTGTAAACAGAGATATGGAAATCCTGAGAAAGAAACAAAAAGAAATACTAGGGTTAAAAACAAGAACACTGTAACACAAATGAAGAATGCCTTGGTGGGCTTATTAGGAGCCTGATCACGGCTGAACAAGTAATCTCTAAGCTAGAGGATATTGTGTATGTTTTCTGTGATTTGAAATACATGTTAGTTGTAAAAAATTCTTCAGTTGTTGTTTTTTTTGGTGTGTATGTGAACTTTTAGTTTGTCCTAATTTCAGGGTTTGTCAATATTTTTCTTTCATTTCCTCCTAAGTTGGTGATGCCACGACATTCCCTTTGTGGTCCCATAGCTGCTAACCTCAGTAGAGCTCTTTTTCATTATGCTGATTGAACCACACATTTTGGTTTTGTGTTTCTAGCACAAATAGCAGTGCTTCAACCTCTCTGCAGCAAGATACTGCCCTCTTGCCAACCTGATGATTAATTTCTTCCCTGGGAAAATGTTCTCCTGAATTTCTAATGAAAAGATGTGAGCTAACGGACAAGAGAGGGCTTAAATTGTTTCCACAGAAGAAAACTATTTCCTCTTCTCCATTTCTGCTTAATGGATTGACCACCGCAGACATAGATTTTCCTCCTTCTGATCTTTGTGGTAACCACTGTTATTTTAACTAAGTATTTTGGAAAGTTGCTAGGTTTCAAACTGCTACATCATATAAACATCTCCACCATTTAGAACTGGAGAGAAAATGAGTTTTTTTGAACAGCTAGCGACACATTGAACATGTCCTTTTTTAAATTAAAGTTGTTTACAAACTTTCTGACTTGCTTGGCAGAGGAGGTGACCTGTAAATTAGACTCATTTCATGAAATACAGAAATTTGCCTGAAGACTAGCTGTGTTGTCATCTTTTGCTTTTTGGTTTAACAGTTCCATGTGGACACATGCTTCTTGGTGAACTGATGACGGGGTATCCTTCTTTCTCAGTGTTTGTGCACCACTACCATTTCTGACAAGGTAGTGGTGAGCGTGAATGAAGCATGTTGATAAATTAGCTGTGATACATATGTGAAGAATAAATGAAGCGCTCGGGGGTTCCAAAGAGAGCTCTTTCTGGTTGAGAGTTGCAGCTGGCGTCAGTTTTGGGTTTTGAGGGGACACCGGGGTTACTTGGGACTTGTGGATGAAGTGAAGATGGGCCACTGAGGATTCCTGGCCTCCACAGAGTAGAGAGAGTGGACCAACCACTTGGAATCACTATGACTTGGTAGTGTTTTCAATTAACCTCTTTCTCATAAAACCATAGTAGACAATGACTCAGAAATCTAATGAACTGGGGGCCTGGTTGGATACTAGTTAACCGAGATTTTCTTTTTATGATCATTTAGAGAGTCAGAGGAGGCATTAAATTTACGTTCAAAGACCGTTAGAACAGATGCAAGTTTAATGTGTTCTCAGCAGTGATCGCTTATATTCCTAGCACCTTATTAAATTTTTGAATTTATCCTAACGTACAAAGTCATATGCATTTAATGGAACCCTGAGGCAGTGTAAACACAGTGGGGTGAATGTAGTTTTGAGTAAGAACTACGGTGATTTTGTCCTACCTACAGAAGCTGAAAAAGGTGATAAGGTCACATTTTTAGCCAGGTGACAAGAAGCTTATGATAAAAATAAAAATATCTTGTAATACAGCATTTCTCATGGACTTTCTCCTTCTTCACACTTTCTCTTGTGGACCATAAATTGTAAATTATAATGAGAAAAAGCTTTTAAGGCCAGTTTTCCCCCTTCATCGACTTAGATCAGTTACTTATGATGCAATAGTTTGGTCTGTTGTAAGGTTATTTGAGATGAAAATCAGTGAATGATAGTTGAAAAACATCTAGTTAATATTTTTCTTTATAGTGGTTAAATTATAAAAAGTACTTACAGGCGGAGTTGGGTTTATCATTTTTCTGTGAATTTTTTTTTTTTTTTTGGCCCAACTTCCCTGTCTAGGTAATACAGATGTTGCTCAGGCCTGGAGAGGAACCCTCTTCACAACCCCCAACCCCCAACCCCCAACCTAATTTTTGTAAAAGATGCCATTGACATTGTTATCTTATATACCACTAAGGAAGAAAAAACACAGTGGAGAATGTTTTAGGAGACTTACCCTAAAGAAATGGAAAAATAAAACTTCCATGCAGAAAGACACAGCAGGGAAACTTCTGTATTTCAACCTTGGTGCTAAGTAGTGGGGAAGAAACCTCTCATGAGATTTTTTGCCCTGAGAATTAAAATACACACAACTCTATTGCATTATTAATTTGTATTCCATAAAATTCCTGTTTTAAGTTTATAATTCATTGAAGTTTAGTATATTTACAGAATTACACAGCCATCAGTACAATCTTATTTAAAAACATTTTAGCACCTGAAAAAGAAACATTGTGCCCCTTTTCAACCCCCACCCGGAGGCAGTCGCGAATCTAACTTCTGTCTCTCTAGACATTTGATACAAATAGAATCATATGTGTTTTTCTGTGTTTGGTTTTCGAGGTTCACCCATGTTGTACCATGTGTCAGAACTTCATTCCTTTTTATGGCTGAATGAATAATAAAGGTGTGGATGTACTACATTTTGCTTAACCATCCATAAGTCCGTGGACACCCAGGTTGTTTCCAGTTTTTGGCTACTGTGAATAATGCTGCTGCAAATAATTGTGTACAAGTCTTTGTGTGGACATGGATTTACAATTCTCTGGCATACATATCTTGGAGTCCTGATGGGTCCTATGGGAAGCCTGCGTTTCACTTCTTAACACTCTAAAAATCTGAATTAGAAGCAGGTTTGTGGCCTGAATCTTAGTTACCAATGGGGCCCAAACAACTTCAAGCAGGTAACTTAATTTTAAGTGGATCAGATTTGTGGTTCTCACAGGTAATTGGCAGAAGTACATGCATATCCTCTCCCCAGGCACTTCACTTTGATCTAGGTCAAAGTTGCTGGCAATTTTAAGATGTATTCTGATTTCAGGGATATTACATAATGAAAAATCTGTGTCAGAGTCAGTGAAATATAGTAAATGGAAGTAAAAGTTCTCTAAAAGGCCGAGTGAACAGTGTTCCCAGTGTCCTTTTCCTGCATTGAATTGCTTTCTTTGAATAGTTTATTTT